GACAACGAACTGACAAACGGGTGATGATTGATGTAAAGCTTAATTATTTAAGCTTTTCAGCTTAAATAATTAAGCTAATTAAGCACCAAAGTGTTAGAATCACCCCACTCTAATGACTGACCAAAATGGTTAATAGATATAAACATGTTTAACTTATCTAATAGATCAAAATTCCGAAATTACTGAAATAATCAAGCTATTTTTGTTAAATAATTATCCCAAATTACCTTATTAAAATGGCTAGGTAGTTTAGATAATAGAACACCAGACAGCCCAAAACATTAGTACATCAACCAAATCTCTTAAGGTTCCATATGTCAAAAAAGTTTTTGAAAAGATCCAAAATAAATTCGAGCAATTTAATATACGTTGGCCCATACCAACACAATTCAAAAAGATTAAGCAACAATAAAACTATTATCAACATTTCGAAGAGAAACAATGTGGTTTATAAGTTTTCCTGTAGTTGTAACCATACTTACATTGGCGAAACCAAAAGAACGTTAAAGATACTTTTTAAAGAACACGTCAATGCCATAAAATACAACCTTGAAAACTCCGCTGTCGCCAAACACTGTGTATTCCATAATTGCAGTATTAATAAAGATTCGTTAAAAATATTAAAAACTGAATGAAATACTACCAAACGCAAACTATACGAACATTTAGAAATTATCAAAATCTATAATAATGCAAGAATAAACGAAAACACAGGGGTACAACTAGATCTCATCTGGCACCCTTACTTAAACATTTGATACTCATTGGCCAGCAGTAGTAGGCTTCTTATATCACCAATATCGGACACCACCCTATAGTGGTAGTAGAGAACATTGTACGAGCTGACCGTCTGCTAAAACGTATGTAAACTTTTTCAAAACAGCTCCTAATTGTTAACTGTAAACTTGTTTACGGCTTTGTATTACGTTCGTTTACCATAGTATTTATTTCACGATAAATTTCATTAACAACAATTATAATCTCTGGTTGCTATTTGTGTTGTAAACACAAAACGAAGTGAAAAATCCCGAAAATGAAGTCATCCACGCATCAGCAACAAAATAGAATGTTCCTTTTATGTGTATATCACACACTATTGGCTCTACAGAGGACTCTATGGAGGACTTATCATACACTATTGACTACATCAATAGTGTGTGATAAGTCCTCCATAGAGCCAAAACTTAGTGCTCGTAGTTTCATATTGTAACATAAGGACAAAAAGCAATTCACGAATTTAAATAATTAAGCTCATAAGCATATAAATAGGCAAATAATTAAGATTAAAATCATAATTAACGCCTTGTTAATTTATAAATATGTAGTAGATTATAAATAAGATTTTAATTAGATGATGCGATTAATTACAACTGATAACTGCCCTCATGCATTACTTATTACTTAATAACATCTTTTTAAATACTAAATAATAATAAATATTTATAATTTAGGGTTTATTTATTTATTTTAGTGCTGCCGAATGCTAAGAGAGGAACTTCTTTACTAGTGTTTATAGTTACTGACACTAAGAACCTGGGTGCCATTCTTCATTGACGTCAGTAGATCAACAGTAGTCTCGTTGAGGAGTGATGTTAATGCTTTCTTGCTACTGTTTTATCATAATTTGAACATTAAAACAGTTGCATAGGGTTCTAATGAATACTTTTTAAAAAATTATTCGTTATTTTTGAATAGTTTTATGATTAATTAGTCAATTTTTAAGAATTTATTTCATAAAAATGACTAAAAATGTAGTTTATTAATTAAACATTGTAATTCTTGGATCTCCACAGATATTGTAGACTTCCAAGAACCATTAAAGAATAAATAGTTACTTAATGAGCACACTTATAACAGTTTTAATAGTCCTATATTTATTTTACGAATTAATACTCATAATGTGTCATATTATTTATAATATAGCCCATGTAGAGTACTTATGTGAAAAGACAAATTATCAAAATTTAATTTAAATGTAATTGTTATAAACATGCAACTAGCAAAAATGCATATTTCCATTATGTAATGAGAATTTGCATACCTTGTTATGCCAGTTTTGCTGATAACACATATAATAATTTGTTGTGCTTTGCTATGCCAATATAATTTTCTAAATGTATTCTAAGCTAAAAACTATGCCTTACTGATAACTTTTTTAGCTTAGAAAACATTTTACAACTCCAAAAATCTTTTACAAATAATTTTTAACCCCAAAATCTAAACAGTAATTAAATTGAACTTAACCATGTTGTTTTCAATGAATTTTATTTTAAAAATGGGCCTGATAAATCTATCCCAAACTTCATTTTAACTTCATAAATCCTTTTCTCCATAATAAACTGAAAATTTTAAATTTAGAGTTAATACAATCCAATAATTGAGTTAAAATAAATAACTGAATGTAGACTTTCGTGCCACTTCTCGCCATTTTTTAAAACAATCAGCCTCTTGCAAGGAGCATTATACACCCGGTTTTTTTTTTTTTTTAGATTTACGGCGCTAAAATTAGTCATTATATAAAAATAAACAATTTTAAATGAAAAATTATTTTCCCAGTTACAATTTGTACAAGTTTCTAACTGGCTTTCTGTGTATAGAAATGCTCAAAAATTAACTTCTCGTGTTTCTCGATATATTTCCGTTTAGTGTTTTTGCCAAACACTTCTTACTCTACGACGTGTTATAACATTCATTAATAAATATTACTGCTATTACATTGACCTCTGGCATTTCAGGCTGACTTACTATCGCAGAGGACGAAGTTCAGATGGGTTGAAGTCGCCTCCATTTGCACGTGCCAGCAACATGAACCCTTCTTCTATATGACAAAATTATAGCTACTCATTATAAATTGTAGATAGCACGAGAAATTTATTTAAAAAAAAAAATTAAATTTAGAAATAGAAAAATTGTCTCGTGTGTTTTAATTGGTTCCGTGCTAAATTATGTTAATTAGTGGTTTCTTATTTGCTGAATTGATTTATAAATTCAATTAATAATTCGGTTTTTTAAAGCTTTTTTTTGCGCCTTTTGTTTGCTTAGTTTATGGGTTTATGCGATTTTTTGATGGCTTTAATTTGTTTTGTATATTTTTAAAATTTTAAATTTTGCGTTATTTAAATTAATAATTATATAATTAAGTTGTTTTTTAAATTTAAATTTACTTTTTCTATACATTTTATACATAAATTCATACTTTATATGTTGAAAAATCGATCATGTAACCATTAGATCGTCTGAAATTCTTCAGATATATCGCTCATTATGCAAATTGCTTTATTTTTTATAAAATGATTGAATGGTTTCATGTAATTAATACATTTTTTTAATTGAATATACGTTTTGCTTCATGTTAATTTAATTCATGCTTTGTTATAAAATGCATTTTCAGTGTGGTGATTGCCTTAAAGCTTGAAAAAGTTATTTTATGATGATGGCCTTAAATATTGGTAAACTTTAATTTTCCATTAATTTTAATTAATTAGAAAATTTTAAATATTGGCTTTAAACTTTGTAAAAATTTAGGCAGGTCCAGATTTACACATAAGCTAAACAAATTGCAGCTTAGGGTCTCGTGTTATATAACTTAGAGCCTCATACATGTATTATTATTTGGTCACTACAAATAATGATACATGTATGAGGCCCTAAGCTATATACTAGTGGATAAGGACCTGACTTTAGACCACTACAACTCTTAGGCGGCCCCAAGCCAAATCCAAGTCTGTAAGTTGTAGCTTAGGGCCACCACAAGTCTTAAGTCCTGACCTGAATTTAGGCGTTACGGCAATGAACTTGAACCTTGGCAAATTTGTGATTGCCTTAAGCCTTGAAATATTTAGGCCTGTGATTATGAACTTTTATTTAAGTTATTCACATGTAAAAGTACATAACTTTAGAACACTCTCACGCAAAGGCGCTAAATTTATCAAAATTAAGAGACCTTCTGATAAAAAGAATTATAGTGGAGGCCTCTTAACTCGCTTAACTCAATGTAAATTTATGGTTTAAATTAAAATTATCAGCCATTTATATGAAAAACTTGGCCCCATTTTTCATCATTTTCAGTTAAATGATTCATTTCAGAAGATGATCATTTCAGTTAAATGATTACAAATTTCACTATTTCATAATTTCGAATTTAATCTCTAAATATATGAGTCATTTCGTAATTCGAAACGTGAAAAATTTAATTTATTTTTATTATTTTTTTCTTTATTCTCTTAAATTTTTAATATTAAGTTTAAATAATCATTTAATTAGGAAACAAAAATTAAAAATAAATTTTTTTTGTTTAAAAATTAATTTAAAAAATTACATAATTTGTTCAGATTTCGAAAAAAAAATTAAAAATTTTAATTATTAATCGATCGTGCTATCGATCATCTTTAATCATTGATCGATCATACGATCGGGTGATCGATCGATATTATATTCATTTATCAGTTTATAGTGAATTTTCTTAACATTTATATTAATTCTTCGACTTTTAATATTGAAGATATGCTAACATCCCGTCGATCAACTGAATTTTATTCATTTAAAAAGAATAATTACGTGATTTTAATGAAATTTATTCCCAAAAAACACAAGGGATACATTTAAAAATATATAAATTTATTTACAAAAGTAAAAGAATTTATATTCGTACATAGAAGCTTGTCGTAACAGAAAAATCCATCTCGAACATGAATATAATGCAAAAATAGTCATTAAAAATCAATTATTTAAGAGTATTAATTGGAAATTATTGCTGTATTTTTGTAAATATCAACATCATCATCATCATCATCATCATTCGCTGACCAGCAACGATTTATCACCAATCATCTCAGTACGATAATTAACGCCTTGTTAATTTATAAATATGTAGTAGATTATAAATAAGATTTTAATTAGATGATGCGATTAATTACAACTGATAACTGCCCTCATGCATTACTTATTACTTAATAACATCTTTTTAAATACTAAATAATAATAAATATTTATANAAAAATAGTCATTAAAAATCAATTATTTAAGAGTATTAATTGGAAATTATTGCTGTATTTTTGTAAATATCAACATCATCATCATCATCATCATCATTCGCTGACCAGCAACGATTTATCACCAATCATCTCAGTACGATAATTGTCGTTTATTGACATTATTAGTTGGCTCTTGATACAGACCAAGACCCAAGCATAAATTTGTCGAATCCTCTTGAACACCCGCGTAAAGTCTAGATCTCATAGGCCATTTCTGAAAGAGAGAGGGGAGGAAAATACAGGATTTAAATTCACAAATACTCGTAAAAAGCAAAATAATTTAATTAAAATTGGCCCGAAACGTACCTTGACGGGATGAAGATAACTGGATTCCCAAACAGGGCTCTTCAGCTCGATGGAACAGGATGATAAAAGTGGGCATTCGGCTTCCTAAATAAGAGATGAAGCTTACTTAGGCACAAGAAAGAGTGCTAAAATCGGAAATATTTTCCTGATTTCTTACCGAATTTACAGTATCCTGATTTAAAAGTTTCATCAGATGAGAAATATAAGTGGTTGCAAGTATCAGAACATCCAATTTCGATAATTTTGTATTGGGTGGAACGTACGGTAAGGTCCTTTGCAAATTTAGAAATGCATTCCTTAAACTTTTGACTCTAGTCCTTTCTCTAGCTGCATTTCTCGATACAGCAGGTGATCTCGAACGTTTTCTAGGCTTGGATATGTCTATAAAGTTTGAAAAAAAGTGACTTAAAAATCCAAAGGTTCACAATTGGCAAACATTAGGCGCCAAGATTATGAAGGTCAAAGGTGATCGAACGTCACATGTAGCGACCATTAAGTCAGTCAAGTTGGTATCGGTTGACAGAAATGTCACCAATCGTGCTGTGAAAAGATATTCTGGATGACAGACGGTCGACTGGAGTGTTGCAGATGTCAACTGAGACAGCAACACGACCTTGATATAGTAACCCATTAGTTTATGAATGACTGACGTTTCCACTAAGATAAAAAGAATCTTCTACATTAAGATAAGAGTGCATTAAAGAAGTAGATTTCTCTCCCTTTGCTATCAGTTAATGAAAACCGAGAGCATAAACTTTTTTATTTATGAAAATCTGATTAAAAAGTCTATTTATTTTCGATTTTCTATAGTTAAAAAAAAACAATAAATATATCTCACCTTTGATGAAATTTGTCTGATTTGTAGACGTCAACCTGGATAACTCTTCAATGAACTCGGACGTTTCATATGAAATGTATGAGTTCATGTTCTCGATAGTCCTGCAAGAATATTTAATGGATTTTTAATGAAATTTTACAGTTTTTAGTGTTTTTCCTACGTTCTACCATCTGAAATTAACTTAATACCGTATTAAACAGATAATAACCAATCATATCAGATCGCACTTCAAGAAACGTTCCAGACACTACCTGTCTCTGAAAGAATTGAATTACTGCATAGCTTTCACAACATATCATTACTTAGTGTATAAAATTTCTACCAATAACCTCGGGGTCATTTTAGAATTTAACCTTTAAATCATATATCATCATAGATCTTTTACCCTTTTTCTCTATCTTGCTTGAAATTGTGGCACATTTTTTATAACTAAAAACTGATTTTTTTTCCCTATAAATTTTATATTTCTATTCATATTCTATTGTATATTAAGGGTAGTTTTTTTGCTTGTTATCCATAAAGTTTGTAAATTATTAATGTTTTTCAGCAGCAATGATGATGCTAAACTGATGCTGATTATATCCATTAATGATTGAAGATAACCACTAATACATACAAAAATTCACTAATTAAATATGATAATATAATCTTTGATTTTTAAAGAATTCTGATCATTTTAAGCTATGATTCATAATAAATACGTAGGATCTTGATGGTGAATCACAGTTCAAGAGAGTAACCTTTGTTGGATGAATGCTTCTAACTTAAAATTTTAAGGAAAAAAATTTATAAAATTGTTACCTTTTATTAAAAAAAATTAAAATTGTGAAAAGCAGGAGTATAATTTTAAAAGATGGTAAAAAAATTATTTTTTATAAATAAAAATCCCTGTAAAAGTTGTATAGTGTTTGTGTGAACACATTAAATTAAACGAAAATTTAATTATTAAGTTATTTATAAATTAATTTTCTATATATTTTTTTAAATAATAAAATATATAAGATGATTATAAGCTTATAAGTTATCTTAGATATGAGCATGCATATAATATACTTAATTTCAATTATATAAAATATAATATTAAATTAATAAAAATTTAATTTTATACTTATGATATTATTTTGTTTGAGTTTATAAAGACTTAATTCACTTTCTATACAAATATTTAGAAAATTAATTAATTTTATTTTTATTTCAATAATTGTTACTGTGAAATTGTATTCCCCCTAAAACAGTAAAAATTTTTTTTCGAAATAAAAATTGATATTTATATTTTACCAAATTTTATACAATAACTAGCTGGACAATCTGGCATTTCTCGAGGAGTTGATATGAGATTGTGTGGTAGTGTACTACTATTCTTAGTGAAGTGTTAACACTCATTGTTAACACTATCCTGCGGGGAAGTGTTACTAACATCTCCCCGCGGCGGGAATTTCGAAAAATCCGTTTCTAGTGTAGTGGCAAGCACAGTGTACACTTACTTTCATAATATATATTGATGATTACAGTATATGTCAATTATTAATATTAATACCGAAAAACAACGAAGTGAACGAATTCAAGAATCAAGAATTGCAACACAATCTTATAATAAAAGACTATGAACACAAGCCACCCATGTTCAATTTCTCACAAAAACGCAAAAAACCGCCTCTGTGCTTGGAAATCTTGTAAGACGCTTTCTCTTCACATTTCATTTTTTATTTAACCACTTTTATTGTAAACACTTTTCCCGCGGGAAAAATTTCGAAAAATCTTTTCTTAGTGTACGTTCTCATGATGCACCCTAANAATTTAAACGCTTAATTGGGACAATTTTTTGCTTAAATGGGACATTAGCAGAAAAGAAATTTAGAAAGTTTTTACCTGAAAATCTGCGCTTTGCAATGAATGCCAACGGCTTGAGCTCTGGATCAGAAAGGGTTTTTGTAAGATGTTTCGCTACTCCCATTACTCTTCTTATATATTGCTTGTAGGTGTAACTGTAGCCTAATAGGATATTAATTCGAACTGTAGCTCCCTCTTGCGTCACTATAGCCAGGGACCAATATTGGAAGACCCTTAACTCGCCACAATTCCTGGCACTGCCCTGGTGTCTACCAGGACAGCCTGCTTGTGGCCGTGATAGATGGATGCCAGTTCAAAGGTCAAACAGTCTCCAATTAGGACAGTTTTAGTAACGACGTATGCTTAAACTTAACATTATATATATATATTTCAATCAATCATTCGTGTGTATTGTAGTCAGATCAACGCCCATTGATTCAATGAACAATTGTTTAAGGTTCTTTTATATCTAGGCGACAATATTTTAAGATAATGTTTTTAAAGTAAACGACCAATAACAGTAATATGTAAGTGTTTTTTGGAGGTCAATAAGTATTAATCATGGTTTTGATATTATTTTTTTTGGTTTTGGTTCTGCTTTTTTTGGTGTCAAGGGGGTAAAGAATGGATGCGAAAGTCTACGCTCGCTTCCTTTGTTTAATGTCTGGATTTCTATATTTATACGTCTGTACTTTACATGAGATAATTTAAAAAATACTAGAAAAATAAAGGATGCTTTCAGATTTTAAACTGTTTTGTGTAAATATTTTAATAAAATATTTGATTTATTTGTATCAAAACTCAGTGCAAATATGGGGTTAACAAACTCTGCATGCGCATGAATCAATTGTATTTAATTTTAACTAAGGAAAATTAATTAATCTGTGAAATTTTAATTAATTATGAGTTTTAGGATTATGTACAAACGATAATCAAGCTATTCGATACGTAATTAGAATGGTAATTGGGAGTTGCAATATCGTTTATCGATGATAATATGTAACTTAAAAGAAAACTAATCAATATATGCAATATTAATTAATTAAGTGTTGTAAGATTATACATAAAGTATATTTAGGATATTTTAAATATAATTAAGACCCTATTTAGGAGTTGAAATGTAGTATTTCAGTGTGGTAACTAAAATCAATATCTAGTTACAAGATTTAAACTGAAATTAAGTAAGCTTAATTAACTAAAAGTCATTAAAAATTATGTTTACATGATAAATTTACTTATAAATATTATTTATTTTGATAAATTATAGTTTTTAAACGCATAAATTTGCTTAAAAGGTTAAACCATTAATTACAATTGAGCACCAATTAAAGAGTCAATTTTGGCTCCTAATTAATGATAAAAATTTATTAATATTTAACAAAAACGTACCTCAAACGAATTAATTGATGTAGATTTCCATAGAAATCTTGTTCATGATGGTTATATTTTATGAATTTTTATTAAAAGGAAGCAAATTCTGTGCTCACATAAAAGTGTTCACGTACAATTAAACTCGAAGTGTCAAAAATTCGATTTATAATCAGTAACATGTGTATGGCAAAAGGCACTTTTCTGCTAGACTAAAACCAGACAAAACATCAAGATATAAAATTTCAGAATTTTAGGAACCATTAACTCGAAACATTAGGATCTTAGTACTTGTCCCGTATTTCATGAATCAAAGTAATGTCTTCAATAAGCGCCAGGTATCAGTTGCTGGACTATAAATTTATTACTTGTATATCCTAAGAAGCATCTCTTAAAAAGAAAAGAAAAGCAATAAAAACTCGAATTTTTGAACGAAAAAACTCAAAATTACTACCATAAATGACTCCAAAAATTAATTTTATAATCAATTTGACACGATTAATTATTTTTTCGAATTTTATCAACGTTACTCGTTGTATCGTGAATTTAGCTTCGTAATTATCCAGTTTATAATCATTATCTCATGCTAATAATGTCATAATGTTTGTTATGCCAGCTTAATCTGACGATATCTACGACTGTAGTAGGGGGATATTCTTACATGTAAGATAAAAAGCATCACACACACACTCCAGCCGTTACTTAGCTGCTTGTTTACTATAGCAGCTGTAACTGGTTGGCATGATCTGTCAGACACTCTCCTACCGTTATCTCACTTTTCACCTCTGAAACTTAGACATACGATTCTCTTAAGTCGTTTAGAACAATGATAGCCATCATTTTGACAGTTTATCCTAACGAAATTACATCGAAAACCGCCTGTAAATTGTCTTCTTTTGACTTAACTGTGTACTTATATGCTATAAAACTTTCAACGCCGGATATAATTAATCCGTGTTATGTCTTCCTCAATCATTTTAATCACGTAAATTTGGCATACGAAACACACTTTCGAAGAAATTTATACATGAAAATCAATTTTTCGGTAACGCTCGAAGGGCAAGAATTGTCGAGTTTGGGTACGAAAAAAACCCCTTTTTTCCTGATCAAAATTGTTGTTTCTTATTGTTTTGTAAGAAATTTCTGCTTTAAAATAATTTGTTTATTTATTTTTTAAATGTTTTCTTTAGCTCGAGCTCGTTTTGGTGCTGTTTTACTCACGGAACTTATCCAGGAAACGGTTGATAGCAAATTGTATGGCGATCGATGAGAAATGAACGATCAAATTATATAAAAAGCCCGATTATTATTGTTATTATTAAAATATGTAATTAATAAATTCACTAATATTTTGACAATTGAGTTCTATGAAAATGCAATGTGCCATACTAATAGCACCTGTCATGGAATAATAACTTTAGGAGTTGGCACGTACTGTACTTCTAAGTTACTCATAATTCTATAGTTTAAGATGTCATACAGATAATGCTAACATGAAGGATCTCATTTGGAACGTTTACTTTAAAAATAGTTAACTGACTTTTGAGACACCTTTTAAAGTTATATATGTAAAGTTATATACTTTACAATATTGTATATATCAGTGGTTTCTCAGCCTTTTTTAACTTGCGTACCACCTGAGCTTTCTGCGTAGACTTTCAGCACTAACGGATACTTCTTGCGTACCCCTCATTGGTACAGTACGTACCATTGGTTGAAAACTGCTGGTATAGGCTATATTATATTTATATTATACGATATATTTACATAAACTCTACACTCTGCTCTGTTATTTTAAAGAACTTTTTTTCTTTTTAATGCTAGCAAAATACAGGGTGATCCAAAGTCGGTTAACCGAGTGAGTCCTTCGCCCTTCTGTCCTTTAATCATGTGAGAACCATATCAGTTAATCTACACAGGTCGGCTCAAAAGTCACTTTACCATTGTGAAGACTAAATTAATGTCTCATTTAAATACTTTACTAACCACAAGTTTCAAACCTTAACAAATTAAAGTACAACTTTTGTAAAGTCCTATTGGGCAGACTCACACGGTTAACTGACTTTTGGATCACCCTGTTTTGTGAGCTTAAAAAAAGTTGGTTAAAATAACAGAGCAATAGAGGGTTTATGTAAATATATAAATATAATATATAAAATATTGTAAAGTTTTATATAGAGGATGGTTCAAAAGTCAGTAAATCGATTTTAAAATAAGCGTTCCAAATGAGATCCTGCACATTCAATAAAAATTTACAAAATTGCCAGTCCCTACATTGTTTAGGTTGTCGTTGTCTGCGTAACGGTCTTGGTTACCTGAGTTATGGGCCACCCTTATAAAGCTTATGTATAACTTAATACTAAAAAATATATAAATTAGCAATTCTATTATTAAGAAATCCTTAATAACTTATTGTTAGTACCCTTTAACAAGATTGACAGACACTGACATATCTTAAATTAGTCTATAGTTGAAAGCTATAGTTTAAATAGTATACAAGTATAAATAGGACTATAGATAGGATGTACAGTGGGTTTAGTATGGATATGATAAGCTAAGAGGATCTACAGTAACTATGGAGGGGATGGATAGGATAGGATAGATCAGTATATAGTATCTACAGTAACTATGGATAGAATAGAATTTATAGTTAGTAACTATAGATAGGATGGACAGGATAGGATAGATAAAATATAGGTAGAATCGTATAAATTAAACTACAAATGTAATCTATAATTTGGACAGAATAGAACTGCAGATAAGATCTACAGGAACTACGGATAGGATAGATAATGTAAGAAAAATATCTTCATAAGAAAAAATTTTTATTTTTTTCTGTTCCAGCAGTCGTAAAAGCCGTTTGCAAGAACGCTTCAAATTTTTATAAGTATTTAGTCTCCAATACATCTTTTGAATTTTTAAATTATGTTGGAATTTTTACACAAAAAAATTATTCACCAACAACCTTAAAAATGCGCTTTAAAATAGATAAAGACATAAAAATACATTTTATGGATGTTAAAAAACCAACTTTAAATATTAAGAAATGATTTTAATATTTAATCTACAGGAAAATTTCCAAAATAAAAAATAATAATGATCATCCAGCAGCGTATTTCGATCATTTTATATCTTGGCATGTCCTTTATGAACGAACGAGCTCATAAACTATCGAGTCGAAACGTCAGAATCTGAGTTTTTTTAAGTGGTTATAAATAAAAAGATGTTTGCTTGACGTCATAAAATACATAAATTATTAACTTGGGTCCATTGCGGAAGTTTGTTTATTTTTTCTTCTTTTTATTTTTTAATTTAATTATATACAGATACATACAAGTAGTTTTTTTTCTTACTTTCTCAATGAAAGTAGAACGAGCGTTATAACGGGGGTGTTCATTAATCCCTTGTACAATTTTAAAACGTGAATAATATAGGTTCTACACAAGATAAAGGTTTACAGAATTAATCTACTCTAGTTTTTACAGTGTATAATTATTAAGAATATCAAGATACTTGAGTCAGGATTATAATGATGATTGTATTGTTTCCCCTTCATCACTAATGAATCCAGTTGTGTTTCAGTTACACATTCAGTTGTATTTGTGATCTTAAAGAGTAAAGTTTAGTGGAAGAAATCAATTAAAAATATTACAAATTGAAGACTAAATACAGTAAAAATTTGATGTGTTCGCACATCCTTCACAACCACAGGAACACAATTAACACAAGTATATTTCATCCTGTTTTAAACATGCCGTTGAACCTCCAATAACGACCCCTCTAAAAGGCGGCCACGTTTCAGAAACGTTTCTTTTTGAAATGCAAACAAAATAACCTTTAAACAACGGACATTTTAAAAATGTTTCCGTCGGTGTCCGTTGCTCGGAGGTTTGACTGTATATATACACTTCATTAAGTAACAAAATTATTTGTAATATTGGAAAAATTATTGTTAAAAATTGATTTTTTTTTAATTTTTGGGCTATTTTGAATGAGAAATGTTCGTAGAATTTTAAAATAATAATGCGTA